GGGTTGATTGTGTAAATCATCCATACTTGTATAGTGGGCTAATGCTCCATGGATTATCTAGTTGGGCCAAAACACATATGATGCTCCATGGATGCTCCATGGTGTATTTGAACCCATGGATCCAAGGAAATGGAAAGTCATGACAATTAGGGTTTACCCTAATTGTATAACTATATAAGCATCTTATTCTTGAGGAAAAATCGGCCACTAGTGAGAATAAGAAAGGGCTAGCCGATTTCATGAAGTGTAGAATTCTCTCTAAGTTATTTTAAGTGTTTTGATGATTGTGAACCATTTGAGGTGTCACACTTGGGGCACTAGGCACTCAAGCTTCATGAAGACAAGAACCATCAAAGAGGTATGTATTCTATCTTGTTATATTGATAGTTTTGTATGCTAGTTTAGGATAATACCTTGGATATTCATATTTTCATGTATAATAGAGAAAACGTAGATCCAAGGTATTTAGGGTTGCATGTACACTTAGGAGTGTTAGGATTCTCATAACCCAACAGATCCAACCATGGTCTTTCATATATGAATTTTATGATTCAACCATGGTCTTATAGTCACTTTTGTTGCTACAGCCCAACTGTAGTCTCTCCTGTCATGATCCAACCATGGTCTTCCAAACAAAACTACAAGGATAACAAACAACAATGACACGAGATAAAGCCATAATCTACTAGACCCCATCAGATGTTCAGGTCGTGCTTCGAACCCCAAAGCCTTCATCAGACAAGAACAGGCAAAAAGGCCCTCACACAACCCTTAACTTGAGCCTAGACATTAACTCAATATTGTGTCACTATCAATGTTTCAAGTCTTCAGACGAGATAACCTTAAATCCTCAACATCTGCTACCTCAATCAGAACTGACTGCTGAACAACATCCCTTACATAAGCTTCATTTCTAATAAAAACCAAAACTTGATATTCTATTATCATTAAATATGAAACTTCGTGATTACCTGTAGCTTGAAATCTTTCCATATGACAAGGCAATTCTCCCCCACTTGAAATTGGCTAAACTTTAATGACTTCATAACCATTCGAATTTTCAACTCAACCCAAAAACTTTACTACTTGGTTCCTAACAACCACACCTGACCATAATGGTCATGAAATAATTTAAATCCTTCAAACAACACCAAAGAGTTCCAACATGCATTCACAAAATCACAATAAAAATAATCTAACCATACATAATCATTTAAAATAAAACCAAAGTTGATTAAGACATTACCATTTAGCAGATCATTCAATATTACAACTAAAACATCGGAATCATAAATGAAAAAGGAACTAGAGACACCAACAAATACTACATCTGACCGCATCGAAGAAAACTGATAACTCAAACCCCAACCCTCGAGACTCCAACTATACCAAGCCAACCATCTGGTAATTGTCAAGCTAAAGGTGTCGGATCCAAAACCATCATATCCACTATCTGAGGACAAGAAACATTAACATGGCCTGGTTTTCATGTAAAAGAAACATATCATTAACTCCCTTTAACTACAGTCCCGATGTGTCCTACCCCAAAACCGGAATGGCGGAAACGTTCGGGGGCGGAGGATGTCTGTATGTTTGTTTCTTGTAAGAGTGTGTATTTTCCCAAGTGTGACTATCATTAACGAAAAATATAGTTTTTACATTACCGTTTATATGAAAAGATTACAATGTGAATGCAATGGGGAAATAATAAAGTACTGTAGCGTTTGAATTATAGTAACTACTGCTGTGCTAACTACCTTAAATCAATTGTTAATTAAGGTATAACGTGAGATGATTGCACCATACTATCGACTAATAACACGATGATGAAGGACGTCGGAAAAAATTGTGACAACCCAATATTTTTCAAACCAATGTAACATTCAAAAAGTCAAATATAATGAACTATTTAGAATCAAAGAAATCAGTGTAAAAAATGAAGTGTTCTAAAATCTAAATTGGGATGCATAAAGTGTTAGATATCGTGTCAAGGTTTCCAAAAATATAAAAAACACTCAAATCCAAGTTATAATGAAAAATTTATAACCAATCGAAAATCCACGAGACACCTAGTAAGACACCGATAAGCGCAAAAAGTGAAACTTCAATAAAATAATTTTTAGCCCTAGACACCTAAACGAAATTTGTAGATTACGTTAAACCGTGAGCATGCATAGAAAGAATGCCCAAATCTGACTTCGTATAAAGAAGTTACGAATTTTATAAATTTCGGAACAACGGTAGACAACTAAAAACTCGGGATAAAGATCGAGCGATTTTTAGCCGACGCAACCTAAACGAGAGTTGAAGGTCTCTACAATAGTAGTACAATGGTAAAAAGACAGAAGAAAATGGACATCAGATAAAGAAGTTATGGATTTTTAACGAAATTATCCTATCCCGGGCTATTTAAAATAAAATATTAAAAATTAAAGTCAAAATTAGCCGACGAAGTCTAAATGAAATTTGTAGAGTATATTCTTACCTATGCGTGGATGTAAACAACGTCAAAAACAGAGCTCGTATGCAAAAGTTACGCATTTTTGAAGTTTTTGTCACACACTTCGAGGCTTATCCGAAGGACTACGCCCAACGTACTTCGGAGTACGCCCAGCCTTAGTAATGCACAGAATCGGATTGGCCACATCATCCCTACACCCTCTACAGCAGTCCCATCTGTCGACCAGAGACTGGAGACGTCATCGCTGACATACTCCCCGCGTACGAGGGTACGCCCAGCGTACGTCAGAGTACGCCCAGTGTACGAAGCATGGCAGCTCACCTATAAATACCTTGCGAGACCTCCAACTTTCCTTGCTCATTTCTCTCTTATCTCTCACTTGTACTCCCCGTTTAGCATCCCAAGACGATCCCGACACTCCGTTTTCATACCTCAGCCTCGAGATTCCCCAGAATCTCGCCACTTTCCAGTCGGAGTGCCGCCCGAGAAAAAGCTCGTTCTCTTCAAATCATCACACTTTCCAAGTGAGTTCATACCCCTACTTTCTTTTCACGTCTTTTCATATTTAAGGGGGGGGGGGGGGGAATACAGGTGCTGTACGAGAAAAACTTATCGTTTTATATAAATCCAAATACACCACCTATATTTTTATAAATGTTAAATAACTTCAATATCAACGTATAATCCATATACAAAGTTAGTATTACATCGAGTTTTTATCACCAAATAGTACACACTTTCGGAAAAACTATAATAGGTATAGTTTACAAGTTATTCATTACATCTTTACATAAACATTATGAAAATGAAATACTTTCATCTACACGAAACATAGAATTTTCTTGTGAGACATTTCGCTTCAACGTACTCTCAAGTACGCATTTCAAGCCCTGTATTATAAACCATTATCTCTTGGAGGGAGAGCGTGATACTTGTGTATAGATCTATACAGGACTGACAATCCCACACCTAAACTGTTAGCTACAGTTAGACCGGTAGGTCTGGGGTGACAAATGTCATAACACTACAAGACCTGAAGAATTTTGTTACATGCAGTCTGGGTCAATAGCATGGTTATAAGGCTCACACGGAAGTATTAAAAACAAGTTTGATTTATGAGACTCTTGAATGCATTCAGTAAATACATTATTTTGAGTATACATACACTTTCACCATTTAAGCACGAAAGATACTATTGCACTCCAGCCTTTGGAACTTTTTCAAACTATGGGAAGAAAATATTGGATTTTCTGGAAAACATGTTCAGTTACTTTTACTAAAGGACATACATATTTCAGTACAAAAACGCTTATGAACTCACCAAGTTAATTGTTGACACTTTTTCAAAACTACTTGTATTTCTCAAGGAATCAGTAAGACATGTAACCATTAGCTTTTGGAGAAGGAGTGCTAAGGCGTCTATTATCAAAACATTTTAAATCATCATATTTGTAATATTCTTTTGAAACATGTATTACATGCAACAATGTAATTTTTTGTTATATATATGATGGTTGTGTTTACTTTCTTTACAATACTCAACTGTTATGATACTACGTGAAGTCACCCACCCTCGAATGTTTACGCCATTCTGGTTTGGGGGTGTGACAGATTGGTATCAGAGCATTGTTTATAGTGAATTAATTATATCAAACCACATAAGATATACAAACTATAAATGCAAAGGGACCAAAAACCGTTTGACAAAACATTTTCATAAACGATACTTTTAATAAATTAAAGTGATATACATTTTTTTTATAAAAGTATAAGTACACGGATGCATCAGTCTCGTATCATAGAAATTTTTTTAAAAAGTATTAAGGCAAGTTGCGACACTACGACTAGGCTTCGGGATATGTAATCAAATCGAGAATAAATATATCCTGATCAACTATATTTATCCTGGATGTGACCAACATATGTCGAGGAATGGTCGTAGTGAGTAACAAGTCAAAAACTTACCAAAGAAATTACTAGAATCAAACTTACAAATTTGAAATACTATAGGAGTATTTTAATAGACCCATAAAAGCTATAGAAATCATGCAAACCTCAATATTTAGTTAAAATTAGGAAATCGTCAAATAAATATTTTCTTATCAAAAATTACCTTTTTACTCCGAAGTTTTCTTACCTCTACTTCTCGACCAGACAAAATGGCAGGATTTCACATTCCCGGGGACCCCTACCCAACCAAGGAAATGGAGGTTAGATTGAGGACGACCCAGAAGAGGATTCCGAAGAGGAAATTCTAGAGGAAGAACCATAAGAGGAATCCGAAGAGGATCCCGAGGAAGACCCAGACGAAGGATCAGAATAGGAAGGAGATGGTGGGAGCACAGACTCGGACCCTGAGGTCTACAACCCTCCCCAAGAAGCAGCAATTCCCCAATGAGACTTTCAGGGCCTGACGCCCCGCTGGGCTATGGATCTGAAGCAATGGAGCAGGGAACAAGGGCAAAGCCCACCCTACGATATGACGCAAAGCTTTTATGACCTCCGCAACGAGGTTTCGGCTGACAAAGCACTCCCTGTCATGGTTCGTTGCATTGCCAACCAAGGCGAGCAAACAAGAACAAATGCTAGCCAACTCTTGGACATTGGGGCCACCGCTATTGTCACTGCGGTATGTCTTCGTCGTCTGGACGAAGAACACGATCGGACAATAGAGCACACCTTTTCCCTTCAAAAAGACATTACTGCTGCTAGAACCAAAGTAAGGGAGTTCCGTGAGCAACAAGCCACAATGGAGAGGCGTATCATCAAGGTTGAACGTCAGGTAGGCCGAGCTAAGAATTCCACAACTAACTACCATGGTCCGCAGCGCCCTACCCGCTCGAAGTAGAATGCGTACTTCTGATGCTATATTTATATCTGTTGGCTAAGTGTTGGTGTTGCCTTTTCTTGTATAAATGTAAACCCGATGGATTGTGAGTACACAATTCGGAGGCCAGAATGCTATCAAAATTTCCCATTTTCATTGATGTACCCTAGACCTATAAAAGGTCAAATTTTCTTGATCGTTGTATCATATACTAATATCAATGAAATTGAAACACATTTATTACTTCCTTGAGTATCCCATTAATTCTTAAAAGAATCATACGCTTGTTTTCTTTAGGAAGTTTCCGTTAACATGCAAAAACCAGAAATGTTCAGAACTAAAATTTATAAACCTTCCTTAATCATTTCAAATGACTTATCAAGTATTTGTCTCTTAACTTGTGGCATAATTATGCCACCAAGAAGGAATCCCCGACGTTTCAATACAAATGAAGCACCAGCAACACCTCCACCACCCCCTCCATCGATGGATGTTGCTACTTTTCAGGCTGCTGTAACAGCTGCCGTAACCACAACAATGGCACAAATAAGTAACAACGGATCAGGAGGAGGGATAAACAACTCTACAAATGGCTAAAACCAGGGTCGTTCCGGGGAATGTACCTATAAATACTTCTTCAACAACAAACCCACCCCCTTTAATGGAACTAGGGGAGTGATCGCTCTATCCTAATGGATAAAGAAAACGAAAGTTGTGTTCGAGATATGCTCATGCCCCGAAGAAAGAAAAGTAAAATTTGTTGCATGTATTTTATCCGAGCGAGCCCTAACGTGGTGGAATGGCCATGTCAAATCACTAACTCTGGTGGTGGCAAACTCCATGGGTTGGGAGAACCTAAAACAGATGCTACTACGAGAGTACTGCCCAAGGGGTGAGATTCAGAAGCTCAAGCAGGAGCTTTGGGGCCTTACGATGGTAGGCTCAGACATCACAAGCTATACAAATAGATTTAGTGACTTGACGATACTTCGTCCAGGAATGATGGTTCTGGAAAGCTAGAACGTGGAAACGTATATCTGGGGGCTGTCACCCTAGCTTAGAGGAAGTGTGCTAGCTTGCAAACCCACAACGTTCGACAGGGCCAAGGAACCGGCACAATCTCTCGTTGATCATAGGGTCTGCCAAAGTGTCACAACCGTCATTCCAGAACCAACCAAAGGGAGCAACAATAATGACATCAATGCCAACAACAAAAACAAGAAGAAGTTTTGTAACAAGAGGAAAGGTCAAAATTCGAGGAACCTTCAAAGAAAAAAATAGTGGCGGTCCATGCCGCTACTATGAAACAAATAGTGGTGGTCCATGTTGCTACTGATCCCACTGCTGTTCCCGCTACCCCCGCACCGACAAAACAATATGCTGGGAACCTGCCAAAGTGCAACAAATGCAATTACCATCACCACGGTAATTTTCGGGAGACGCATCGTATATGAAAACCCGAACTTTCCATTCTGAAAGAACCATATGAAGCCAATAGAAGTTAGAACATTTACAGTGAAATTTCAGACTTTGGGTATAACTTTGAGTATTTTAGGTTTAGCACTTAAGGAGATATCAAGAGAGTGGATGCACTAGGCTTTTGTGCAACACTGTTATTCCAATACTCTATGCTATTAGAGTTTATTCCGGGAATAAAATATTTTCTACCAAAAATCTCAGGACTGTATATAGAAATCTGAACCATATTCGTTCATTAGTTGCATTTCCAACTAGAGAAAAGCTGAATTCTCTCTTATGGATCTTTGGGTTTTTTATCCCAAATCGTGAGTACTTCTATCTAGTTATATTATATAGCTTAGATTGTTTTTAATAACATCAAATCATGTCAAAACACTAAGATCCATGAGTTTACCGCCCAAGAACACCTTGGGGAGTAAACTCCTTTTTAAGGGCCAAAAGAGTGCCTAATGTCCCTCTAAGCCTTGAAACTCAACCTAGGAACTACCAGGACATGTTTAGACCACAAAATCATTAAAAATCAAAGGTTGAAAGTGAGTTCACGGCCAAGGAAGTTCTTGGGCCGTGAACTCCATTTTAGGTTGCCAAAATGCCCTAAATGCCTTCATTGAGCCAAGAGACTAGCATAGCACATTACCTTGACGTGTCTAGGACCCAAAACAATCAAAATACCAACACCTATGGGTGTTCATGGCCGCAAACTCATGACCAAATGGTTCATGGGCCGAAAACTCAAGTTAGGGGTGTTTTGATGCCACAAAAACTTCCTAAGGCTTACGCTTGGATTTAAACATGTACCCTAATGAGTTTAGGACTAGCAAACACCATTAGAACACCAAGAGTAAGATGTTCACGGAACAAAAAGTTCCTGGGCCGTGAACTCCAAACAATAGTGCCAAATGGTGCTATAAACTGTTCTAAAGCCTTGTACACTAGGCTAGCTTAGTTCCTAGTTAAATTAGAGAGTTGAAAACACCACAAACACCCTCCCAATAGAAATTACGGTCATAATCTCCATGGGATTTGGTCCCAGGGCCGTGAACTCCTCAAAGGAGTTAAAAGGAAGCCCAAACACTTGTTTAAGCCTAGAATCACTTCACCAATTGAGTTGTAATAATGCTAAGCTTCATTTAGGGGCCCTATAGAGAGTTTACGGCCAGGAGTTTACTCCCATGGGCTGTAAACTCCAACACATATGGTCTTTTGAGCATAAACTCCCATAAGAGGTCTTGCACTCCTTTGTTGCAACCCATTAGCCTCCTAGCACTTGACCAAAAGTGTTTTCCTTGCATTAGGATGTTTATAAATGTTTAATTAGTGTTATAATCACTAATTGTTTATATACATATGTCTTCATATGAAATTAGGACCGTTGTGTGTGTCTAAAGTCTTCACTTGACACCTAGCAGTCCTACCTCTTCAGTTCATCCGTATCACCCACAACAGGTGAGTTCATACCCCTTAATCAATTTTAAATGTTTTATGGGGGGGGGATACAAGTAGAATTATGCTAGTTACTATATCAATCACATGTGATTAGTATGCAGCATTCAAATGATTGGCTACTCATTAGCCATTTTACCAAACAGTTTCCTTCAAATGATTTTCGTAAACATTTTATATGATTAACACTCCTTTTTAAGTTGTACACTTTACTCTGTACGCTTCATTTCAAACTCATTTATAATTGTGTTTCAAGCAAATGTTCTTTTATACTTAAACTATTTTATCAAACCCACGCTTTCAAACCGTTTTATAGATTGACATCAAGTTGATCGTTTCTTAGATAATAATTATGTTCAAAGGTTTTACCAAACTTATTTTATGCTTTTATATTATCAATTGCATGCCTATATATGTATAATTATATAAGAAATGTTTAAAAGACTTAGGAAGGCTATCCACCCTATTTCCTTTTCGCGCTTGCGATGTGGTCTGGTGGGATAACGGGTACCCGTCTGAACGTCGTTTAAATATTAGTTATATAACATGTGTACATATATAGTCATAAAGGTTCTTCCAGTTCATTCAATACCCTTGGGTAGCTCAGGGCTTTCATACATACAGAAGTTGTGTGTATCACATCGCAATTGTGATAGTTATATCGAGTATACATGATAATAGTAATGTGGATGCTCAGGGCTTTCATACATACAGAAGTTGTGTGTAACACCCCGTTCTTCGAGTGTTCATTTATAAGTCCTTGAGATTTAAGAGGAAGGGTGATTCTGGTCCTTTTCGAGAAATGAGCTTCAACTGAGAAGGTTTTGGACAGGTGTATGTGTTAGAAGTATTGGGCTTCTCGTCACCCTCGTATGAATGTAAATTTATTTGAGAGTGGGTTTAGATTAGAGGAGTTGCGGTGCTTCGAAGTTGATCATTGTTTATAGTACTTTGTGGAATAAGAAGGAAATGGTCCCATGCATTCATGCTTTTGATTTTGAAAGGTGGGTGGGTACGCCCAGCTTAAGCTGGACGTACGCCCAGCGTAGAGGGGCGAATAGATGTGGGTGGCCGGGTGAGTACGCCCAACATACCAGGGAGGTACGCCCAACGTACTCTCAGAAACCTTAAACCCTATTTTTAGGGTCAGCCACTATATAAGGAACATGTTGGTTCACCCCTCAGCCTCCTTATGCTCATCTTCAACCTCAGAGAAACCCTAGATCTCGTATCCTCTCATATTTGGGTGTGTTTGACCTTGAAAAGCTTGTGTTGGCAAAAGAAAGGCTTGAAGGAGAAAAGGGAAGTTGTCAAAGAAGAAGAAGAACGTGTGGAGCTTGTAGATCTGAAGAAATATCACCCTTTGGGGCTTGTTTAAGGTATAAAGTTTCTTGCTTGACCTTCATATTGCATAGATCTATGTATCTTGAAGCTTTGTCACCATTCTTGTCCCAAAAGTCCCCACCTTGTGGTATAGTTCAATTTGGTCAAGATTATTTGTCCTTTCAGACCTTTGGAGAGGTCTTGAGTGATAAAAATGAGGTCCCAAGGGCTGTAGCTATTCCATGTATGAGATATATAGGTCTTAATGGATTAAGACCTTGGATTAAGGGCTTAAGGAAGTCCCAAGTTATAAAGTCTAAGACTTTATGAATTTTAATGATATTTGACCTTTGGATCTGAAATTTGGGCTTAAGAGCTTAAGCCATTAAGAGGTTAGAAAGGCTTAATAGATCTCGCAGTTACGCCCCGCGTAGCGGGCCAATGCCCCGTTTTCTTTTGGTGATCATGGCAGTACGCCCAGTGTACCAAGGAGAGTACGCTCAGCGTACTTGTCACAACTGGAAATTTTGTGTCATGTAATCCATACATTCAAGCTAATGTGAATCAAAAACTTCAATCAAATACAATATGCAAGTACTACAAATAGTCATCAAACAATTGGAGACCCTAGAAGTTTTGGTTAAGTCCATTTTGGACTAAGACTTCCTTATTGGATCCAAATGGACCAATAAACTTCCAATTGGACTATCATGGGCTTAGAACCCTAATTGGGCTCTAATTGGACCCACACTTATTTATTTCAACAATTTTGGGCC